CTTATCTGTGCTTTCACTGAGAGATTTTCATCTTTCACAAGTTAGTGCCCAAGTCTCCCCTATCTGTCTGTATTTTGGTCATAAATCTACATTGCAAACAAGTCATATATTGTTCAAAATGAAGAGAATACTGAATGCAAAACTAAAATTTCATTTGAAATTCTACCCTCTATAAAAATTTAACCCTTGCAACTTGCAAGTCAAAATCAGGATTTTGATAAAAATTCATGATGGATTTTCATTCAAGGGAATGATAGAAAAATTATCAATGAATTTGAAATCCTACATGCACACCAAAAAATCAATCATACAAACTAATATGAATGCTATGTTATGATTAGATTACACATTTCTGTGCATCTATCTCTTAAATTCTGATGATTCTAGAATAAACTGAACAATTTTTTTAACCTTTCTTGAAAACCAAACCAATAAAATGATTGAAATGAAGACTTACAATCTCCAATAGAGGTTTCCTAGCCCTCTTGGTCGGTAGCCTTGTGTGAATACCATTCTGATTCTACTACAACTGACAATCCTTCATAGTAATACTCTAAACCTTCAATAATTTGGTTTTCCACTGAATCCTAATGGAGGAGGAATTGGCTTCACCCACTGAATGAACTTCCGGCACTTTACTGAAGTGTCAGACATTTCACATCAACTGCAGGCTATTCCCTTCGACAGCTGGTTACTGTACAAACTCTGATTCTTGTCTTTGATGCCAATATTTTTCTTTGATGGAAAAAGAATTAGAAAACTTTCTCTTCTTCCACCAGAGACAATGTGAACTAGCAATTTACTAGAATCTGTTTATTTGTATAGCTAGTGTGTTTGTATAATGTTTCCTTTACTGTCTCAAGTTTCCCCCAGGTGATGAAAAGTTAATCTTGTTTAGTACCCATACTACAAGTAACGGTAACTGATTTTTAATTTGATATTCTCAGTCAGTCATTTTCTTTATTCTAAAAAAGTGAAGTATTCGTGATATGTTTGCAACTACTGTCTACATAATCAATATATATTCAGGGGTTTTAAGAACTGCAAACCTTTCACCTGATGAACTTAAAGGCCCAAGGACCTGAGCTCTTGGCTAGAAGTTAATCCCTGTAAACAATATCCTGTATCTTGCCAATATAACATAAGTTGATGTGTTTTGGGTGGCATCTCTTGAAGATAATGAGATTAACCTCTGTTCTTGGCTTTGGGCTTTAAACACAGAACAGCTGCTGAAAATGTGAGAGCTGGGTGACCTTTGGTGACCCCCCATATGGAATGTGATGCTATCTACCCCCAGCCTCTTCTCAGTGGGTCCCCAATGACACAGTTCTTGATTGTGGACATAACACACATTGTTGAAAAATTGTATGTTTGTTCCTCTGTTTCATTAATAAACACATCTTTTTGATTAATTAATGCAAATCAATATCTTGGACTCCTCCTAAATAATTCTGGCTCCAAACATCTAATTTCAGAGATGATATTATTTAACAAATTACAGCAAATTACCAAAATAAAAAAACATTGCACAGAATTATATCCAAGTCATCATTTTTTTAGAAGACAACCTCATATAAGACAGGAAAATCTTTAAATATTTCTTCATGAAGTAAATATATGCAAATATGTATATGTCATTCTCCCAATCTATGCATTTCATCTTCATTTAACCATTACATGACCTGACAAATTTAAGCATAAACAACATAAAACAACTTTTTTGATGAATCCAAGGTGACATGGCATATAATGAATTCCCCGAAATACAGAATGTTTTCAAGATACAAAACTCTTGGACACAAAGAATGATAACTCAAATTTCAAATGTGGCACCAAAACCTGAGTTATGGTTCTTGACAACCTCCTCCTTTCTAAAACAAGAAATATGGACAGGTATATTGATGCAAACACACCTCATTAGCCTCATATAAATTATAGGATAGATCACTGAGAGCACTATAACAGAGTGGAACTGATACCCTCATTCACAACTCATTGAAGAAATTCACCAGGTGCTATTCCCATACTTTCATTTATCTCCCAACTGATGATGCTATTTCTGTAAGCTAATTGTGATGAAATTGTCTGTGGGGTTTGTTTATATTACTTCAATTCACACAGAGTAAAATCAGATAATGAAGAAATCACCCATTTTGCTTGAACCATTTCAAAATTCAGGATGGTTGATCCATAATAAGAAAAAGTGAAAGTAATGAAAAATATATTCATTTGTGTGCATGTGTGAGAAAAGCTGCAAAAATAAGGCATTTTTTAAAGAAAGACATCATAAGCTAAATTTTGAAAATGTTATGCTTTGTTATCAGGATTAAAAGTTCTGGAATGTATTCAGAATCTTACAATTTTGCACTGATTTCATCCATGAAGCACTTTGTGCAGATTTATTCACTGGCCTCAATCTAGGACTCCTTATAAAACCAAACTCCGTTTTTATTGCCATTGATTATAGCAGTAGGATCTCAAGTTTGCTCCTAAATTCTTATTTTGGGATCAATAACAAAATAATTACATCAAATTAATAGAGAGGGGTTTAAGGGAACAGACTGGGGGAAGAGAATAGTGTTATTTGTAACACACTGCATGAATGTGGGGGGAAAATGTGTATAGACATACTGATATAGAACCTAAAGATCTAAAACCATCCACAAAATTTTACTTATTCATGGAAAATTTGGGTCTGACGTCTTTATTGTGAAAGAAGCTCTGATCTTACCGATGATCTATTAATAGCAACAGTTGGAGTGGAGAACTTCAAACAATAAAATTGATTACAAATGAAAGTTAAATTTAGTTTTTTAATTAAAAAAAGCTGGCTTTAGGTATAGCACTTACAAATTCTACCGAATGCAGCCAACCTAAAATAGAAATCATTCTCACATATAAACCTTACATAATCCAGAATCAAGCTATGTAAAATACATTAAAGGAAAGCAACTTTGATTTGTGTGGCTTCACTCCAGGTCTTATACATACCCGGTATATTGGCAAATGTTCATTGAATCCTTGCTCAAACCATCTGCCATAGTTTTCAAGAGACATATGGTCAAAAAAGTATAAAATCTGACCTGTTACACTTGCATAACTTTTCGTAGTTTATTAAGTTTTTTTTTGAATAGGGATCTCTCTCGATCCCTCATTTTTTTTTTTTTTCGTGGAAACTACCTAGCTTAGTAACTTCTATACATATGAAGGTGTTTTTGTAATTCAACAGAACCTTCATTAAAACTTTGTACTAATATAAAGCATGTTTGGATGCAACTTCAAAAATGTATTTTTTCACGACTTACTTAATAGAGAACTTGACACAGAATTCATATCTGTTCATGTATTGGTCAGTGAAAAAGATGAATTACATAAGTGAAAAGGTTAAAAAAAAAATGTTGTACATGCATTACGGATAAAATTTTCAAAAACAGTTTAGGACTTAATGTCATAAAGAGCATCTTAATAAGATTTCCATGCATGTGGATGAAACAAAATGGAAACAAAACAGATGCATTAGATTTTATACATGTTTTTTTTGTTTTTTGTTTTTTTTTTTTACATATATATTAAATAACTACTACTTTGTAGTGGTATGTATTTCACTATTTGAATTTATCAATTATTCTGCAGAAACTCACATATAATTAAGTTCAGAACTATAAATTCTACTCTTATCTCTGGAAATATACTAACAAACTGCATAAACAGGACATTACCCTGAAGTGTCCCCTCCAATTAAAAAGGAAGATATGTCTACAACCATTGGATTAGCTTTAAGGGGGTATGCCACACCAAAGGTTTATTTAATTCATGTTTAAAGTATCCTTTTTGCATCTAGTACAGTTAGTACTAGTTATAGTGCTAATCTAGAGACAGACGAAATGGGACAACCATAGCGCTGATCTCTAGCGACATTGCTCCTCAGTCCTTGTGTCATATAGCATTCAGCTTCGAAGTATTATCTGTGCTGTTTTTGTCCAGTCAATCTATAAATAGGCTACAGAATGTTTCCGAGACCATTTTTCTCATTTGAGGACATAGTACCATTCTCTGTTATCCTTGGACTTTCAATAAGGGGTGGCACTCTCGATATTACATAATTAGCATCTGAAATTTACACAGCCTTTCATTCACTGTTGAAATATACATGGGATAGAAATTTGGGCGAATGTCAATGAGTGTAGCAATGATCCACTGAATTCCAATTCATATGGCAAAGAGGTGGGCTTCAGGGGTCTATGACAGGTGACCGAAAGACAACTCACCGAACGACAACTCGCCGACACTTTTTTCACCGACACTGTAAAACTCGCCGATACGACATGTCACCGAAAGACGTTTGTACATCATCGACAGAAAATATAAAACATGGAAATTAAAAAAAAAATATTTAGTGAAATTCATGTATGTGAATTTAAACATTTTTATTCATTTCAAATCTTTTTTTTATTAAATCACAAACTTTACCCAATATTGCCGACCTATGACCTTGCTCGTATTCACGAGAAGCAATCTATACGTATGCGTTAGACCAACAATCATTATGATGGAGATACAAAAAAGACAAAGAAAAACATGTTTTTTTATATACATCTTTGATTATGTTTATTATATCTGAATACTTAACACAACATGCATCTAACAATTATTATATGAATTTCTACTCGCCGAATCTTTTGTCGGTGAATTGTCCATTCGGTGAATTTCACTTTTGTCGGTGACCTGTCTTTCGGTGAGTTGTCTGGCACCGGGGCTTCAGTCATCTCATCGTTGTCAACAACAATTTAAAGTTCCTGATGTTATTAATTTCTTAACAAATAAGAATTTGAGAGACACTAATTATGTATCTCCAAGAATGACACCCCTCACTGAAAGTCCAAGGATGGCATAGAATTGTACTATCCAGAGTTTTAAGTTAAGGAGAAGGTACTTTTTGCACATCATGCCAATGTATATAACCTCTCCAATTTTGATAAGCATTAGACAAATTTACTTACATTTTGACCCCTGGGGGAGGGTCCCACACACACTCTCCGGTGGTCAGGTTGGCATACATGTGCTCCTTGCTGCGGGGTTCGATGATCTCCACCCATTCCCATCTACAAAATAACAACAGGTAATTACCACATGTAAATAAAAAAGATGGCCATTCTCATAAAAATCTCTTTACAATAAATAAATATCAAAATCCTTACACAATTTGTTTTTCGTGTATACTTACACATTTAGTGGCTAGTAATAGCTGAGTAAATGCCGACAAATTAAAAGTGAACAATTGCATAATTATATCAGGTATGTTTTTGTATAATTAATAATTACTCCCAGTATATAATAAAGATTTAATTCTTTATAAATGTGGTATTAATTAAAATGTGAGTCATATTTGTAGCAAAGTTCAACTGTGTGAGATTTAAAATTGCTGCCTGACTTCAATATTTACATACTGCAAGATCAGCTGTTTACTGTATGATAAGTGCATGACATCATGTACATAGGAATAAACCCTATAAAAAATCAATGTCTTATTCAATAAATATAGTTGTAGTATATGGACAATATAATTGCTGGAATGGCTTGGGGATTAGTCAATATCATTAGGCACATGGCACTTCCTCTGATGAAAACATATGTACTAAGGCCGGAATTAAAAATATCTTTGTTTCCCCTAACCCGACCCCAAATTCTCAAGTTGGGTCGGTAGGTAGGTAAACAATTTTCTTTTTCTGACAGCAGCTTTGAAAATACATTCTAAAATTTAATGGAAATTTACCAGTAAATTTCCATTAAAAGTACGAAAGAAAGCAATTTGTGAATAAAATGCTAAGTATCATCTATAGGCCGTTTAAAAGCAAATTCATGATAAACTGTGGCTGCAGATCTGTAGCGTTATGTTTTTTATTTAATTTGTCTTTGACCATAACGCTACAGATCCCGTAATGCAAAAAAAGGTGCAATTTACGGCGCAATATCTTCTACGCTCTTTTGGGGAGAATTTCTCCACTTTCTAGCATTGTTCAGTCAACTACCTTTCACTTCCTAATTCTAGACACATTTTGTAGCCAATATGTATAATCCACTTCCCAACCATTTATAGTTGTCTCTACAGGCAATAAACTCACTTGAAGTGAATTTTCACAGTAATCTAACAAATAATTTTAATCAAGCGAGTTAATCACTTGTAGAGACGACTATAAAGGATTGGGAGATGGATAAATTATACAGATTAGTCAAATAATGTGCCTTGAAATAGGGATTGAAAGATAATTAATTGACCGATGCTAAAAAGTGGATAATTCTCCCCAAAAGTGCACAAATAATATTGCGCCGTAAATTGCACCTTTTTTGCATAACGGGATCTGTAGCGTTATGGTCAAAGACAAATATATAAAACCATAACGGTACAGATCTGCAGCTAGATAAACTGTTATTCAATTGTACTTGTGAAATATTTGAAGCCACAGTACATTTCTATATATCGAATAAAAAAGGCAAGATTCTCAAGTATGCAAAGATCAGAAATCCGAGTATATTGTTCAAACCTTCCATCAGCCTCCAGTGCTTATAGACAATCAATTAGCTTTTTTGAGGGGCATGAGATTTGCAGTGGTTCTAGAGCATTTTGCTTTGGATTAAGAAGTATGTGGCTAATTTTAAGTCGCAGGTTCAAATCTCAGATGAGGAACGTTTAAAACGGTCCCTCAAAAGGGACTATAAAAACTTATGTCCAGTGTCGCAGAATATGTTGGCTCAAAAAAGATCCCCACTATATACTAGAGGGCAAAAAAGTGCTGAGTACGTCTGGAGCAATGGGAAAATGTTCAAATGTCGTCCCAACAAATCTCGAAGGAAAGAAACAACCAATCTTCAATGGCCTAATTAAAGAAAAATACACTGGACGTCTCAGGAAGCTGAATCATTATTTATTTGGAAAGAGTATGTAAACAATAATTAATTGAACCAAACGCAATCTACAGTTGATATAAATGCTATATTCAATGTCATAGTCACGAAGTTTAACCCATAAATAAAGGCATGAAGAAAGGACATCTAAATTATATTTATCAGGAAAAATATGCAGACATATTTACAACAACTCCTAAGATAAAGTTCCATAATGGCATATAGTGAACATAGGAACATAGCTGAACACATTATTCGGCCAAACCTCAAATTAAATAAAATTCAGTGAAATTGAATGATGTGTTCACTAGGTGGGCCCCTCACCATTGTTTTATGAAGACCTAATTCTCTGTAATCACATCTGTAAGGGCGCCATTTTAACAAATGCTTGAAAATCACAGCAGAACAATCTCAGCAGTTCTGATAAAAACTGATTTTCATGTAATTATATTTTATGAAACTTGGCTAACAATAAAAATAATATTTGAATCAGCTTGTTTGAAAAATCTTTCCAGTCGGCATGATTTAATTGGGTCGGTCGCGTTAGGGGAAACAAAGGTATTTTTTATTTTGGCCTAATGTTCTGGCTAGGAATACACACATTCCCCTGTTGTATTTCCAGACAATGAAGACTAGTTAGTCATTATACAGACAGCATGACAGATTGGTGTACACACACACACACAAACAGAGAGAGGGTCTGCCCTGATCATCTGTAATCTTTTACCTTTAAACCTTTTCTTCTTCGTCTACCTGTCGGGGTTAATAATCGCCACTAAATCTAATTATCCTATCTACTACTCAAAACCAGTCCTATCTATTCATATCTTTAAAATCAAAACATTTTACCATTATTTAACCACCACCCCCCTTTTCCCTGCTGTTTCCCACCCTTTACCCTACCCTGAATATTGCCAAACAGCATTACCCGTAAGTCCTGTTGCAGTATAAATTGTACGTTATCTCCAGCTCCATATTTTAACAGTCAGGATACCGTCACATTTTACAGAGGGTAACTCATACACACTTGAACCTCAGGAAGTCCCTGGCCGTCCGCCAACTTTTACTTTCCTTTTTAGCACTCAGCATGAACAACCTTGTTACCAATCGGAAAATCATTATTAAATCGGTGTGCTTAACATTTCATACACAAAGTCAGGTTTCATCCTTGTAATCCAAGACACCTGTCGATATCAGGTTAAATAAAAATCATACATTCCCGTCCATCTCTCACCAATCAATCAATATTTCACAGCCTGGTCCTGTTACTGAATGAAACACACCCCCCTCTTGAGTAAATTCTTCCTATGACAGAGGCCACAAAGAGAATAAACAATTGATTGCCTGCTATTATTTCACAGTGCAGTCTATCACCTTGTATTGGTGACGATCATAATCAATGCATGTGTAGCATATTTTAACACTCCTATTCTATCATTCTGACCTCACTATTAATTAATTCTCCCTTTGCCTTTTGTCTTCCGTGTCTATAAACCTCTGGAATTCCGCTCGCTTTAGAACCCATTTTTTGATGCATCTTTTGCATAATAATTTTTCAGTGTCTGACATAATTTTGACTTTACATAGTACTTCCGTTTTTTGAAGTATAATCACTTTTTCTGTCTATGAGTCATTACATTCGCAATAAAATAGAAAAAAAACTTGTATACATTGAATACAAAAAAAGTGTACTTGCATACAGCACAACATGTCACACGATAGACCCCTATTATAATCAATCTCATTTGGACCCCCTCAGAAACTTCAAACTGCCAAAAAATGCTGTGTATTTGTAGAGGCTATTGAAATTCCTCTTCAGAAGGTGTTTTGAGTTACCCATGACTACTTAAGTAATGTGTTTCACCACATCATAGGTTGATCTTTGAGCCAAACACACTAAGAACACAAGTCACTAGTATCAGGATTATTATGACCAAGGAACTAAAAACTTAAAAGCAGCTTTAAACAATTCCCCTATTTTTATTAGCTGAATATGTCAAATATTTCTATAGCTATTCTTACAATATTACATGTATTAAATGATGTATATCATTAAAATAAAGTTCCGTGATTTCACTTATTTTTTTATGTACCGGTAGTAATTAAAAATAAGGAAAAAGTCATCTAGATGAATCAGTAAAGATATTAGTCATGCAATAACAAGAGAATTTTTGGACAACTTTCCATTTTTTTTAATTGGAATTAAAAACAAAAAAATTATTGAAGTTTTTACGTAAGATAGAGAGTGCCTCATTTTCCAGCCGTTTTACATTTCCTCACATAACAATATCAGTTGCTTGTAATATCAAATGACAGATTCCTGTTTAAATCAATCTGATTCAGGCCAGCACATAAACTTCAAACTGCCACAGAATGTTGTAATTTTTTTCCATGGTTATTTTCAGAGCATGCTTAATAAAGTTACATACAATGAAGGGACATCCATTGAATAAAATGAATAGAGGGGTGGGTGGGTCAGTGGGGTTGGACTATGTCATTAAGGAGTCTAACAGATTTAAGATAGCATGTAAATAGTCATGCCTAGGCAAAATCAAGTTCTACATGATGTAAGAACTGATACTATCAATGATTCTGATGTACATAATTTCTTTTTAAAAAAATTCATCTGAGTTTGCATTCAAACAGAGCAAAAAAGAAAAATAACAGTGCAAAGAAACACTTTCTACAGCCAGTTTTTACTAATGGGTCGACATCCACCATAAAAACCAATATCTACTAAGGAAAAGGTGTAGAGCTAAGAGGTACTCTGCATTCCTCCTAAAGATCTAATTACATTATCTGTCCAATATCATTGTCTTGTATCACTAAATGCCCTGAGTTAGCTACCACCAAGTAGCCCAGAATTGAGAATGATCAAAGTCATTGTTAACAATCGTATTAGCATGCAATTATAATCCAGTGAGAACACCCCTGGTCCTAACGACAGATGGTTCTAGTGTTCATCGATGATAGCGCAAAATCCAACACATTACAAGCTAACAGACAAAAATAATCCAACACATTACGAGCTAAATAGACAGACCCAAAAAATCCTTTATTCCACAGTCCAAAAGGCCAAAATCTTCGGGAAAATTAATTTGGAAACCTTGGATAAGGTTTTAACTGATAACTAGAAAACTGACCAGTCAGCAAGGGCCCCGCCATGGGTTAGAATTAATAGGGTGCAGCTTACGGAATGATTAAAAAATGTACGAAGAATAAGCAACAGCAACTGTATTCTTAAAATTTCAAGACCAGAAGTCTCTGTCGAGACTGTAGCTCTACTGGTTTATACTTAAAACAAAGGAAGAGAAAAGTAGCAGTTGGGACTTGAGACTTTAAATCAGCAATAAATAGAAAAATGATCCTTGCCACTCATCAAAATAAAAACCAATGCACAGAATTATGTATCTTAGTATAGTCTACTTGTGTGCCAAGTTATACTGAAATCAGACCAAAACTGCAGGAGGAGTAGCATTTTGAAAGAATTTCACAGAAATTTCTATTTTTAGTAACCATGGCAACATTGTTCATTGAAATCAAAAACCGATGCACAGAATTATGTATCTTAGTGTAGTCTACTTGTATGCCAAGTTATATCAAAATCAGACCAAAACTGTAGGAGGAGTAGCATTTTGAAAGAATTTCACAGAAATTTCTATTTTTAGTAACCACGGCAAGACCGTTTATCGAAATCAAAAACCGATGCACAGAATTATGTATCTTAGTGTAGTCTACTTGTGTGCCAAGTTATACTGAAATCGGACCAAATCTGTAGGAGGAGTAGCATTTTGAAAGAATTTCAAAGAAATTTCTATTTTTAGTACCAAGGCAACACCGTTCATCGAAATCAAAAACCGATGCACAGAATTATGTATCTTAGTGTAGTCTACTTGTGTGCCAAGTTATACTGAAATCGGACCAAATCTGTAGGAGGAGTAGCATTTTGAAAGAATTTCAAAGAAATTTCTATTTTTAGTAACCACGGCAACACCGTTCATCGAAATCAAAAACCGATGCATAGAATTATGTATTTTAGTGTAGTCTACTTGTGTGCCAAGTAATATTGAAATTGGACCAAAACTGTAGGAGGAGTAGCATTTTGAAAGAATTTCAAAGAAATTTCTATTTTTAGTAACCACGGCAACACCGTTCATCGAAATCAAAAACCGATGCAAAGAATTATGTATCTTAGTGTAGTCTACTTTTGTGCCAAGTTATATTGAAATCAGACCAAAACTGTAGGAGGAGTAGCATTTTGAAAGAATTTCACAGAAATTTCTATTTTTAGTAACCACGGCAACACCGTTCATCGAAATCAAAAACCGATGCATAAAATTATGTATCTTAGTGTAGTCTACTTGTGTGCCAAGTTATATTGAAATCAGACCAAAACTGTAGGAGGAGTAGCATTTTGAAAAATTGTTTACAGACAGACAGACAGACGGACAGACAGACGGACGGACGACGGACGCATTACTATCGCATAAGCTCTTCTGGTCTCTGACCAGTAGAGCTAATAATTCCTCAATATTCAAAAACCTGAAAATAATATCCTTGTATTTACATTAGGCAGTAAAGAACAACTTAACATTGAATGTATATTTAAACAATTATGAAGCTTGTGTTATATAAAATGCCAGCCTTCAATGAATGCAAATATCATGAAGGCTTGACATTAACTTCAAACAAACAGCAGTTGCAGACAAAGGTTTTCATTAATCTTAAAGTAACAGATAAAGAAAAGCCTACTAAATTTTCTGCAACAGGCTAGATAATTAATCCCAAGGGATTAATTGTACCTCTCTCATCATTTTCTTCTTAAGTTACAATAAGAACTTTTTCAGTATTAATGATAGAATGGGATTTTTATACAACTATCCTAAAAATTAATAATATTCTTGAATTAACATAAAGTGAAAAAAGTAAATCAAAAAATCTTCTTTAATCTATTTCTTGTTATTAGAATTCAATGAAATCATAACTATTAAACAAAAATAAATTATAAAAATTTATATTTAAATCCACATTTCGGAGTGTTCATAGCATTCCAAATTGACTTAACTTCAAAACAAACTTCATTTGCAGACAGAGGTGGTAATTCATCTCAATTTGACAGATAAAGATAATGCTCTGGATTTTCTTCAGGAGGAAAGCTAATTAATCCCAAGGGACTCATAGCAGCATTCAGTTTACAATGGGAACATCTTCAGCAGTTATCTCTCTTTGCCAATGCTTTTGTATATAAAGTTAAGGAACCTACCCCACCACCCCAGCTCCAAACCAGGGGACATAGAGAACCAAACTTAGCATCAAAATATGTATTTCTGCCTACTGAACTACCATACCAAATTTGTACTTGATTGGGCAACCATAAAAAAAGTTGCCCATTCATTCTTATGCATAGTTAAGGAATCTACCCCACCACCCCAGCTCCAAACCAGAAGACATAGAGAACCAAACTTAGCATCAAAATATGTATTTCTGCCTACTGAACTACCATACCAAATTTGAACTTGATTGGGCAACCATAAAAAAAGTTATTAAAAAAAACAGAAAATTTGTGGACGGAAGAGTGACAGACGGACAGACAGACAGACAGACAGACAGACAGACGGACAGACGGACGGACAGAGTGATTACTATAGGGCACCCGCAAATCCTTGCGGGGCCCTAACTATTAAACAGGCAAAAACCTAAGCTAACTAATGTATACATTGAAAGCAGGCTATATTAAACATGCCAGTCAATATACACAAACAAATGTTGATTCAAACAACACCTTAAGCCTTTATTTCAAATATCCCTGTCATGTTCAACCAGATTATCAAGAAATTAAATGTCAACAGGGTAGGCTATGTCCTGGTATCAGCCTACTTCATTGGGGGGAGAGGACAGAAAATAAAATTTCACATCAGTGAGAAATGAGATTCTCTTACAAAACCATACTGTTGTTTTGTGGGTTTTTTTTTTTTTTTTTTTGTTTATTATTAAAAAAAGTTTTTAATTCATGTAATATTGTGATTTAAGAGTAAAAAGGATTTTTTCCCATAAAAAACAAGCTATTTACAAATAAGTTGATAAAACAAGGATATCTAAAATCTTGTTTTCATCAACATTTCACAAATTCTAAGGCTGATACAATATGTCGTGGTCAGTTTTCATCAAGTCAAAAGTTGACATGTTTTTATTTTTTCATACAAAATAGTCTATTCATTATCTTCCAACTGAATTTTCTACATTTTTTTTTTCATTGGATGATTACTGTTTAGTGTTTGTTATCTTCATATTTCATTATACCAGATCATGTTTTATACAAATCAGACTCCTGACAATTGCATATTGTATACCATCAATATTATCCCTATTAATTGTATCATACCAATTACTGTATATGAACTTTTCCATTCTTTTTCCATATATTCCTTAATTTCTGTTTCTGAATTTAAATCTGCAGAGGCTAGTCTGTGAAGGGAATGGCATTTAATTATCAGATTACGACAGAAACAAAATAGCCTGGGCTTACAAGTGGCAAAAGCAGACTA